TTAAGTTGCAGCACAAAAACAGCACACATTCATACCACTGTAGAATAATAATAACAATCATTATTACTATTATTACGTTATCGTCATCCACAACTATTACAGGCCAAAGGAACGTAACAATTTTAATCAAAATGTTCTTCAAAGAGGTTCTTCGATCGAGGATGCGCATACGTACGTGGCATGTTGATGTAGAGAAGGTAATCAAAGCTTGTAATTTCACTTTTTAATTGAAGCAGCGTTAGGACAATGGCATGAACAGAACATATATATACGTACGTTCTCGGCCATATTACGTATGTTTTTATAATAACCACTGGAAAAAGACGTAAAGGGAACACCTTTAGCATAATTATTGTTAGATTGTTATTATTATTGATCAACGTTAGGTGCGACCAACGTTACTGAGATGGCGTAGATCGGATGTCGCTGAAAATTTGTCTCATCGTTCGTTGAGGTCAGCCCTCCGTACTAGAAATGGAGAGGCGATTATGTTGTTGAGTAGGGGTCAATTAGCCTGTTGTAGTGTGTTTGAAGATGACAATGTCTCACTTATGCAAACAGAATCAACAAGTGCGAGAGCAGACAGCAAACGAAAAAAGACGGCCATATTGTAATGACTATTCAGTGCTAAACATGTACCATATGGTGTATATAGTCATAATACAGACATAAACAATATGTTTTGTGCAATAGGCATATCTAATACACATTAAAATAGACAATAGGAAAAAAAAATGAGTAATGCAACGAGTCAACGACGAACTAGCTATAAGACGAAATAAAGCCAACAAAAATGAGGACACAATAAATTCAAGTCATTGTAGCTAACTTTGATTTTTGCCCGTATATATATATATATAGATGGTACTATAAGATGTTTCGTGTTCGTAGCTCAAAGGTATCATATTTATGATAGGTGTACAAGACTACTTCTATTAAAAAATTAAAAAGAAAAGAAAAATGGAAGAAATTGCTATATTTTAGGTTCTAATGAAGTGCCAGAATGCTGGGGCTTTGCTTGTTCAAGCCAGATCCAACAAAGCTCAAAGCGTTTAGACTGCGCACGCAGTCGCCTTGCACTCTAGCTTAAAAAAGAATTCTTCGAGCTAATTACGAATTAGTAGTAGTTATTTGATAGCCGTTTCTTACTAATAATGATGACCCTTTATACCTCAATGGCGCTGCTGTAAGGAGTCACAACTATGAATGAAATTTATATTCGATAGATTTAATGATTATTTAAGTTTCTCATATCAACTCACTTGGTAGTTATATTTAACTAGCGCAAGTAATGTACTTCGTGCTTATCATATAGACGAAATGAAGCCCGGCCGTCTATTACTGCACGAGCATTTCGGCTTATTGCCAGGCCATTCGGCAGTGAGGGCTGTCAAGTATCTATACGTCAGATATACCAGCGAGTATTTGTTACATGAAGTACACACAACTTCATGGTGTAACCAGAGTTATTTGTTTTATCGTTTTCTCCTATCAGGTAAGCTTCCTTGCTTAGAATTAAAATTATCCACTGTGAAACATTGACTTTTCCTTCTTAAAGAACCATTTGTTGCAGTTTAACTTTAGCCGGAGTTCTTGCCATTAGAAATGCATTAAATAATACATTAAACCATTTTTATATGTATGACTCTATATTCACCCGCAATATTTTTATTGTCGCCTGTTAAGACCATTTTTAAATCAGTTTTAGCGTTGGTCTTTTTAAATAATCATACAATTAAGCTTCGTTGATAAAATCCTTCTATAAGTTCGAAGATATAATTCTTCTACACTTCTTAATTAAAATAAATACGTTTTCTATTTGACGTATTGTACCAGTTGAACAGATCCTAGAGACTTGAAGTCTTTTATATAGAAGTATTTCAAATGCTTTTAACGTAGAAAAACCACGCTTCTTCAACACGCACAGTATTAGGAATATTGAAGTGATATTAATGAGATTCAGCCTACAGTCGGAACTCGAAATGACAGGATAAACAATCTGACGCGTTAGTTATCTAGCAGGAAAGTTCCGCTCATTAGAACTGGAACTACTGTGTTAATTATTAAAAAAACGAACGTAAAAAAGAGAGCAACGGGAACTTCCTCCGTTCCCAGCCACTAATTTGCATAGCATCCTCATGAATGTGTACGGTAGACACAAATCAAAATAAAGGAAAGACAATATCACCGTCAGGAGGCACATGTGGACGACTTCCATTAACTGTTTGTCTGGCGAGGCCATTTGGTGCAGGTTTAAGTTGGTGTTCGGAGTTCGTCGCAGGTGCTCCTGGGGTTAGACTCGTTGAATGGCGAGTAGCAATTCTTGATATAATCTAAACTTAAGTCAGAGAAAATTCAAGAAATTCTCTTGATTAATTTCATGGACGGTATGTTAATAATATAATGTAATTAAGCAAGACGAATAATGCGCTTCATCTATACTGGCTAGAGAATCCTAAGCCGAGCCTATTGATAGGCATATTTATTTACTTATTTGTTGCTTTACTAGTGGCCAGGCATTTCGAAGTAATGCATCGTCTCGACTTTTTATAGTACTAGTTAACGGAGTTTATTTTTAGATTTGCAGGAAATCTTTAGCCTGTTTCGCTCAGTAGTACATTTTTCGTTTACAAAATGTAGAGTATTCAAGCTAATAAGCGACTTCTATAACGGTCAATTACAAGTAGAACGTAACATCTCTTCTCAACAAATAGAAAAGTCTCAGCAGCAAAAGAATTTAATAAAACTGCAGTGTCTCAAACGCAGGCGAGTAATATTTATTTTTAATTACACTATTTTTTATCGAGCGAGCGCCAAAGTTTTTTTTGATTAGGCAAACCAGCCAGACATTGGACATATTACACACACGCCCTAATCTGTGAGTCAAAGGGTTTCTACGCTTGACACGGCGGCGTTATAGCCCTAAGCAACAATACGAAGTATATTCAAGCTTCAATTCAGTAATCGTTCGATATATTTCAAAAAGCTGTTCTGTCCTCCAGAAAGACATGTAAAATATTTTCTATCCGTCCATATGCATGTGTCACGTTTTGAGCTGAGAGTCTATCTAACCTAAACTACATCGTGTATGAGCTCTAAGAAATCGAATTCTAGGATTATGTTTAACTGATGGGCTGGATCGCTATAAGGATCCATTTTCAGTGTGATCGACCACAAAACCTCGAAATAATAAAGGAAAAATAATCATAAAAATATTACATTTTCTTCTGATTAGACCTAGACCAGGCAGTTTGTAGTACTATAATATCTACGCTAAAGATATAATAATTAGATAGTTTTGTCTAGATGCTACACATTTACGAATGACTAGGAAATTTTATTACTTGTCTAGCACCTGCCTAAGTCATGCATACATATGTATATAACATACCGACTCACATTCTACTCGCGTACGTTGAAGTATAAAACGTTTTAAGACACGTACAATACTTCCGCATTGGCCGCGATACGTTCTCCTTAATTTTCGGCAGTGCTTTTTATTGAAGTTCAGCTCTATTGAAATCTAAGCGGAGCCCGAAATTTCAGAAATATCTTTTGGCCAAACGCGATAAATTCAGGTACGTGTGCTCGCCCAAGTCTCTCTCAAAATCCATCAGCCGACGCAATAAAGTTCAACCAATACGTTTCAAATCTAACCTTTGCGCGTCCTAAGATTAACGCGGAACTTTAGCCCTTCAAAAGTTTCAGCTTTTAATCGAGATAAATTGTTAAAGTATGATAATCGTAACAAGCAGCGACGATAGCCAGGATATCGCCGGATAACAATATACTACTTGTAATACCTAGCCCAGTCATACTGACAACTCGTACAAAGCACAAATACATTGCACGGCCTGAGAGCACGACAGCTGCACAAGGTAACCGTTATAGAGGAATTTATGTAGTACTTTCCTTGGAAAACGTTGAAAAACGTTCAGATAATAAGTACGCTCATTAAGTCCTTCTTTTCCATTTTACAGTCGTCGGTTGTCTGATGGAAGATGCAAAGATCGCTATTTTAGTTGGTAGCGATACGGCAAACATACGTAAGTCGTGTAAAGTATCTGTAGTTGTAACGTTTGGGCCACGAATATCCAGAAGCGCAATCTGTCAATTGCCTGAGTCAGTGTGCGTATCGACTGTACGGTCCATCAGTAATATAATTCTGTGAGAGCTCGAAATGCGCTTATCAGAAAGGTTTGCTGTCGTTTGAGCAGTTTTTTTGTTACCAACCTACCACATCAGATCTGCTAACCAGCTAGCAATAAAAAAGATCACTTGGCCTCCATAGTTGAATTTCACCTTCTTATTTTTTCAGGTTTTTGCGCTCCTTCATCAATGGGACAAAGCTTCCTACACTAGAGATCGGGCAAATAAAATAAATGTTTATTTTCGCGCTATTCGAAATACGGCGACCACCACCACCATGGTTCACCGTGATGGGCAAATAAGCGTGTTTACATTAGAAAAAATCGATCGAATAGGAGGAGGTTTGCAATAGGTGAAACATTGTGCATAGCATAGTATAGAGCATTATGCTACTGTATGAAATGATGGAAAATCAACTGGCGTTTAGTTTCAGTTCAACGACCCACTGTGTTTAGTCGGATTCAGTTTATAACACGAACAGATTCTCATTATATATAATGAAAATAGAAAAAATTGCGACAATGATTAAGTACCTTCGTCTTTCGAAATCTGAACGGTGCTAACTCCAACTGTTTATGTTGGATAATATGTTGAAAGTGAAGTTTAATAACTAGACTGTGACAGAGACGGTAGCATACTGCTAATATGCTGCTTGCAAATGTACAACTGCAATGTGATCAGCTGTCAAATTAAAAAATACCCTACTATTTATTAAGCGCTTCAAATAGACGAGATCCTATAATAATAATTGATATTATTACTATAATATCATATATAATAATTATTATTGCCATTTTATAGCCATCGCACATTTGAATACCTAGTATATTAATTACCCTAATCAACAAAGATCCCTTATCCATTAGCACGCATGCGCAATCTTGTATTCTACTCGATTAAACCGTACAATCAAATACATGGAAAGGCTCAAATTATATATATATTGCGTTGTTACAAGTGAATCCGTCGTAGTTTGAAACTGAAGAACTTTTTAGCTAGTCGGGCTAGAGTGATGATTTTATGAATAGATGTTTGAGGTAGTTTAAGTTCTAGCGGCTCTTATCGCGTTCCCATATGTATAATCTCTATTTATCTGTGCTTGCTTATCAGTTGCCCTTTTTAGGGCATGCTGAGCCCCATAATCACGCGGACTTACATCGAGTTGAAGCCAACATTGGCCATTTCTTTGCTTAACGCACGAACTAATTGCGACATAGCGATGGGGTTTGGCCTTATCATCAAGCAACTGTGTGCTTTCGATTACCGTGCCAATGGCATCGTTGAATATCTTGAGGAACTTCAGATAATTCTTCAGAAAGAAGCTGGTATTCGTTATTTCATGGCGGGTATCTTATAGTAGCAAATGTTCCTGGTGTCGTACGATCATCACCTTACGTCCAGACCAACCCAAAATTGCCATTAACCTCGATCTCCCTCCAGAGTGACACCACGCTCTGCTTCAATCGACAGCGGAAATTGCACCACGCCTTGTCTAGGCGACAGCAACCCCGTAAATTATACGGGGAATGCATTTCCAGCTGGCCTGGAGTCAATTTACAGGCGCCCTTTTTTCATTGACGTTTCCGCACCTCCAGTATTTGAGTCGCAATTCGGTAACACGTTGCATATAAAATAAGAATTTTGGCCAATAGAGCCCTTAGATTCTGCTCCCGTGAAACGATAGTGGCGATACGTTCTTGTCTTTCGGCTTCCTTCATTGGCATTCAATGAACTCGGTCTCTCGTTCAAGACATTTCTGTTTAATGGCTTCAATAATCTCTTATGAATTTCCACAGCATTGTGGCCTTCCAGAAACAAAACTTTCACCATTGAGATTAAAAGATGTTCACTCACACGCTTGAAGAGGACTAGACTACTTACAGGCCAGATTTTCTTGGCCAGAGCCGCCTATTCCAAAAGTTATTGATTTTCAAAGCCCGATATACAACTAACCACTTAAGCAGGCCTGTCGCTAGTGTATTTGGTGCCGTTTTGTAGTGGATATGGTAATGTTAATATCTCGCGTTGCTTTTTGTATTCGTTAGATCTGTATATGATTTTT